GTGTTTGCAATATCAAATAAATAAATATAAAATCTGAACTAAGATAATAAGTACTGTTACTCATTACTTATAAAAAAAGCAGCCACTATGTAATTGACCTAATAATAAGAACATAGAAAGAAACTTTTATAGTCAAGTGTTTAGGCCACAATCATCCATAATTAAAACCTGACTTCAATATGCATGAGACCAACGAACTGGATTCTTTTCTTGGAAACTGAAATCAGATAACATACTATAAAGCAAACTGCAACTTCAAAGCTGACCTAGCAAAGTCACATTTTCCACAAAAGGACAGTATAAAGATTAGCTGGCCTTTGAAGGTATAGTCTCTGCGGAGTTGAGCTCGTTTCTGATAATTTAATAGAAATGTCCATGGAATTTGGAAGTAATTTGACATTCCAGGAAGTTTTGAATTTCCCAACCAGTATTTTGGATTGTAGCAGAATACAAATTTAATAAACAAAAACTCTAGCCATGGGATTCCTAGTTGATTCTGCATCAAGTGTGAAACTCACTTTGCTTCTAAGTCCAAGGGCTATTATTTGCCAAGCTATAATTTCAGACCTGATATGCGTATAAATATGTGTTTGGGAATATGGATGCCTATTCATCACGAAGTTCCAAGTAACAGTAAAATGGGTATCTTAGATATATGAGCCTGGATAATTTTTCTAAGACTTTGGGAATAGAGATTATTTTGCTAGAACACTGATAGGCATAATACAATCTCCTTTCAAAAACCAAGACAGACTAAAATGTATTAATCAGGACATTTTCCTTTCTGTAAAATATACACACAAAAATATGAAATATTAACTTTAGCTTTTCAAAGAAAAATGTGAAGAAATAATCTACAATAATCATATAACTTTATAAGGTGAAAGAAGAAAAGAACAGAAAGACATTTATTTTTTTCTTAAACAAATAGACCGAAACTGCTCAGCATTAACGTTTTGGGCTGAATAAAATAATATTTTTTATTGTAGCAGTTAGCTATTCTAGCAGTATTCTCAGGAGCTGATTGCTAATCTGAACAATAACCTGATCTGTTAAATTACATTAATTTGTCTTTATAATGCGTAAATAAGGTATTATAAAGAAACTGTGATTAGTCAGACAGCCATAACAAAGCATCATAGTTGTCCATTGAATCATTATCCAAAATGTTTTAGCAGATGTAATTTGATAGAACTTAAATTGTATTAGAATCATAGTCAGATACCTTTTCTAAAGCTTAAAGAAATTGCTGTTTTTCCTCCATTCTGCAGGATTCTGCATTTTGAAAAATAAAGTAATTAAAGAAAAATAAAAAGTGTAGGATGAAGCTACATAAAATTTCATCACATTTGCTTTCAGTATTGAATATAGAGAATTACATGTCTGCTTCCTCTTTATGCATATATATTCTGTTATTGTTTTAGTATATTTTGAAAACTGAATAGGATTCTCTATCCTTGATCTCACATTAAATGAGACAGGCATGAAAGTAATATTTGGCCATTTTTAATTGGAATATTTTGATCATGCTTTTTAGTTATGAATAAATTGAAAATATAAAACAATGATAAAACTTCTCCAAGAGTGAAGACCAATGGAAAACTTTAAATAAGAGACTATGTTTGTATGGGAACAAGGTATGGCAAGGCCCAATTGCCTGAAATGTTGACTTTTATTAGAATTATCTTTCTAACTTCTGCTGCTTTCTCATAGCCTTTTTGGAATGTACATTCATAATCCAGGTAATATAACAAAGTTTTATTATTTTTAAGCAAAATAAATAGATTTTGCATATTTAAATGTGTTGGATTCAATTCCCGTTTTCACAGTCAATATATGTCTGTTTAGGAAAGGCAGCTAAAATGCTATACCACAAAGAAAGGAAGCAAAATCACATAAGGGCAATATCACTAGATCTTTGCAAAACTTTCAAGATGTTTCAATTTGATGAAGTTTTGATGGAATCACCCCACTGAACAGATTCACAAACTGAAGATAGCCTCAAATCCCTTTATAGACTTTCACATGCTTGATGTTTTCTTTAATTTCTTGGGTTGATACAGACACTATAGAATGCTGCGACTTCCTTTCCATAAATGACGAATGTTGATTCTATGAACTGTGCATAAGATAATTAGCCAATCTCTTTGCCTATGAGGACTTTTTTAGGATGCCAAGATATTCCTACTTGTTATCAGCACACAACTTTACTCTTTCTTGTGCTAATGTATTTCTACAATTGTCATGCCAATATAACTGGGATTTTTCCAGTTCTCAGCACTTTGAAATGAGCTAGACTGAAAATTTTAGTATGCAATCTTGGATCTAATTAGCATACCATTTTGGGTAGAATTGTACTTTAACTTGGCATGACTAGATAAGGATTACCTTTTGATACTACAAGAATGGATAAGGTAAAGGTAAAATTTAAAGGCTCTGGCTAAACTGCTTTTAAGAAAAAGGGAATAGCAAGATTATCAATATGTTTTAGTGCCAGTTTCTTTTGGGCATTATATTTAATTAAAATATGTTATTATTAAAACAGTTGGAGAAGAACACTTGCAGTAGTGGTTCAGCACAATTTCTGCAGAAAACATTTACATAATTTGCAAGATAAAATGTTATGCTGTCCTCCAACAACACTGCCTTTAAAGAGCTGGAACATACATTGAAACTGAAGTTGGATAATCCTTGAAGGTGTTCACTGAAGATTGACAGAGTTAACATTATCTAATGTTACTATTTGTTTTGTCTTCATCCCATTCTATCAAATGTTTCTTCATTATAGCATGTTTTATCAAATCAAAACTTAAGATGGCTTCAATATGTTTACCTTTGAATGTCATAATGAAAACTGGAATTGAATAATCTAGTCAAATCTTGAATCTCCAGTTCAAACCAAACCTGATTCACACAGACATAATCTGTATCAAATAATTTTTCCAATGGCTTCTCCCTTAATTGGATCAATTCAAACTACTAATGTTGCTGGAGGAATAGATTATTGACACAAATATCTGATATTCTACCACTCTACAGTCCCATATATTTTTCTTCTCTCTTTTAAAAGTTTGCTATGATAGAGCTTTATAAAGCAATAAAATAGCTTTCTATAGTAAATATTTTGAAGAAATAACTGTTGATTCTACATCATCATTACCTGCCCCCCACAGATAATGTTGTGAATTTAAGAAAGTTATTTATTTCAGGTGTCAAATGAGCTTATAGTATTTGTGATTTAGAAATAAATGATTTTGCAATTAATTTTGCAGCAACAATAAATGCTCCACTGCTAGTAAAATATTCTCAAACATTATAGTATCAGTTATTGTTTAAAAAGGAAATAAAAATAGATATAGAGGGAGGTTAACATAAATTTAGCTTTGATTTCATTTCTTGTGATTCAATCACAATAGTGTGCTAAAAAGTATATATTATACATGTTGAATAGTCATTAAATTTGAGGGGGCTTGATGGCATAGTGGTTAAAGATGCTGAGTTAGTCAGCTGGAAAGATGACAGCCCGGGTTCAAGTTTTGAGTGCCACACAACAGGATGAGCTCTTGTTCTCACCCCAGCTTCTACCCACCTAGCAGTTTGAAAGCATGCATATGTGAGTAGATTAATAGGTACCAGTTTGGTAGGAAGGTAAGCCATGCTGACCACATTATCACAGGAAATGACTTTGGACAATGCTGGCTCCCTCAGCCAGGAAACAGAGATGAGCACTGCCCCTAGCATTACACACAACTGGACAAAGAAACCTTTATCTTTAGTCATTGCATAGTTCCATATCTATAAGTATATAATGTTAGGCATTTGTATTCTATAATCACAATCCTAGATGATATTAAAATAGTCATTGAATAGTAATTAAATTTGAGGGGGCTTGATGGCATAGTGGTTAAAGATGCTGAGTTAGTCAGCTGGAAAGATGACAACCCGGGTTCAAGTTTTGAGTGCCACGCAACAGGATGAGTTCTTGTTATTTTTATATTCAGCCTAAAATAAAAAAGGTAATTGTATTTATTTGAGCACCAACATAAGTCAGTCAACCAGCCAGCTTTCATGCCCAAGGCAAAACTAGAACTCACAGTCTTCTGATTTTTAGGCCAGAACTTATTATACCAAAGAATAAAAGAGTTCAAACTGATTTGAGACTATGATATTAAGTAGAAATAAAAACTGAAACAAGTATATATAACCATCTTCCCATTGGAAGATTCAGTCATATGTTATTTATTTATTCAATTTCTATGCTTGCCCATCCAAACTACTTGATTCTGAGTGACTAACATACTTAAAAATGGGGGGGGACCAATATAATGTTACTTGCATAGCACAGAACTATGTGCAACTCTGGACGAGGTCAATTTCTAAGAAAAGCATAATCCTGAAGCAATATTACAAGGTGTCCTTTTGCAAAGAAACAATGTCACTGTCTCAAGCTGATCATATGTGATTAACCATTCTTGTATCTTTCCTACAGTACAATTATACCTCTGTGAGAAAGTGAGCAGAACTTGGCTATATTCTATCTGCCTTTCTGATTCCAAGCAGCCCTGAAGATAAATAGCAAGCAAAACTTCAAAACATATTGGAGGATATGAAAATGTGTAATCCACACTTGGCAGAAATACATCCAAAGGAAAAGCATTCATAAAGAATCCCCTTAACAGGTAAAATGCATGAAAAGATCTGCCATTTCCTTTTTAATTAGGTTGCTTCCTATCACTGGTAGTATCCTTGTCAGGAAGGCAGTCTTACCAATCTTTTCCTATGTGGTGGAACACAGACACATGGAAGGGATTATTTTAGTCTTTTATCTAAGAGGATTACCAGATAAATGAATTAAAAAAATCCATTCCACAGAAATGAAATTGAGTTTGAAGAGAAGATGGATATTGCATGGATGTCATACTAATTTCTTACACCATAAAAGTAAAGACAGAAAATTGAATCAAAATACTGTATTTAGAGTACGGTGAAAACTGACTTACCTGTTGATGATGTGATTCAAGGTATCTTCTTTTTTTCTAAATTCACCTTCCTGTAAGAACAAAACATCCACGAAATGTTTTTGATTATATTAAACAATATAAAGCCAGACTATTCTATAAAAATAGTTCTGAATGGAAGAACAGAGATAGGCAGCTTATGGTCTTCCTGGGAATGAATTCAACAATTTAAACTAATCAAATGAAAATGGCAGCGTATAATAAATAAACCCAGTATGACCAATACTCAGAGGTTTATATGAGTAATTATATCTGAAAGGCCATAGAATGCCTGGACTTGTAGTAAGACCATGAAATTTCACCAGGATTCATAGAGAATCAGTTTGGAGTATATATAAGCAACAGAAGTAATCAGAAGATGGAACCTCAAAGAATAGGTCATTAGATAGAGAAGGGTATAGTTTCCTGTCTTCTGCCAGATCATTTTTTCCTTTGATATTTTCTATTCTCTTTTGCAAGCAGAAGCCTGCAGAGTAGGAATACAGAAGTCTTGGTTTCAGCTGATCATCTGCACCCAGCAATTTAGACCAAAGTCGGCAGGAAATCAATTCAAGGATCACATATAGCCAGGGCTTTTTTTGTCATAGAACACCAAGAACGGAGTTCCGGCACCTTTTTTGGATGGAATCTTGTAGGGTAGGCAAGGCAGGTTGTATGATGTGTGTGAGTTCCGGCACCTTTTTTTTTTTAACAAAAAAAAGCACTGCATATAGCTCTGGGGACACAAACTGCATATATCTATATCTACCTATCTATCTGATCCCATAATGATAAACTGCCCTTTCCCATCCCATAATAGTAAAACTTTCTTATCTCCAAATCTAAAAACCTGAAACCATTGCTGTCTCATAAAAAACAAGGACAATATAACATTATTTTGCAAATATAGTGTTCATTTAATTCCATCTTCTTATATTTAACCAATAATTCTTTATATAACATACTGGAACATTAAATCAGCCATCCATGGCTATGTTTCCTATGAGTCCATTGCACAGGGTGAAATCTTGTAATGACAACCGTATTTCCTAAACTGTTATTACAACATCTGTCAACTACAAGGTCCTAAATTCATTTCAATAACGTTTCAGAGGAGATAAGATTTTTGTTTTAAAAAAATCCTTTGTTTTCATAAGAAATAGAATAAAATTATTTTAGCTATAACTGCCTGCCTTTTGCAATATCACATCACAATGCCTTCAGTATATTTTTATAACTAGAAATTATTCTTTCAAGACTCTGGAGCAATCAAATACATAATGTGCATCGTATGTTTAATTTACTTGTAAGATTCTATGGATTGGGATGAATAGTTTCACCGAGATTTGATTCTGGTGAAGTCTGAAGATAAATAGAATGAAAGAATTAGTCAACAGCAGAGGGAAGTGGAAAAAAAACCCTTGGCATTACATACTGAATGAATACTGTACATAGGAAAGAACTAATGGAATGACATATTTAGGATTTTGTAGAATTTGTCTACTTATATGTGACATCAGCCCACTATATTTAGAAAATAAATTGTATAATGTATGTGAATTCCTAACATGAGACCATATATTATTATAGTGAGTACCACATCATTACTACTCCCTGTAGAAAACAAACAATCTTGGATTTCTCAGTGATCCCTTCCAGCTGTATGATTTTATGTCTAAAAAGAAAACTTGGGAAAAATTCAAAATGCTCAGCCAAGTAGTAGGCTTGAATATTTTTTTCTTTTTATTATCCTTTAATCTCTTTGTTTTGGGTAGAATAGGGGTGACTGAGTGGAGCTGAGTTTACTGGCTGGATACCTTTCCTGATGCCTATCCAGAGTTCGCAGCAGATATTTTCTCTTTGTGTCCTGAAATCTGCCGCTGCCTAGGCTCAAACTCTAACTTTCTGAGCGGGAGGCAAGCGTCTTCACCTCTAGGCCACCACACCACTCATCAGTAAGCTTGAATTAAATGAGATGCTATATTTAGAAACTGTAACAGATAGTTTTCCCAAAATTAAACTGGTATATAAATTAAATAAATATTTTTTTTATTATTAAAAGTTTTTGCAATTTTACAATAAAATCCCTCTCCCACTACCTCCCTGCCCTCCCAAAAACCCTCCCCCCCTCTTCCCAGAGCTGAATACGGGTTAACTAGAACTAAAAAATACAAAACATTTAAACTTAAGTAAACCTCAAACAAAAGTTACATTAAATAAAAATCCAATATATATATATATAATAAAAAAGTCCAATATATATATATATAATAAAAAATACTTATTATCTTAAACTTTAAACTTTAAACATAAATTATTCAAAAGCTAAATAATATCCTTTAATATCAGACTTATACTATAAATTAAATAAATATTATGAAGATTTTTTTGTCTCTTTTAGTTTGTTATGTGCTTTGAAATGAGATATTATATATAGCATGTAAACAGAAGAACACTATGTCATAAAAATACTACAAATAAATCCTTATAAACCAAGACATGGAGAGACTACAAAACATATACTGTTTTCATTTTACTTTGATTATTTTTTTAGGAAGAGATAGAAAGATGAATAGTCTTGCTATTAGGCTCATAAATTCTGAAATGGCCCTTAGATGACAAATGGTGGAAATTACCAATGAACTCTCCATCTGTCTGAATTTGCCATACAGTGACAACCCCAGTTGTATAGTATAGATGTATATACAATGATAGGAACAGAGAGGCAACCATCCAATAAAAGAACAGGCATCTCATATTCCTATATTATTTATATAGAAAAACAATCCAAGAAATGTTCAAAGTAGAATGAACAAAATGCCCTTGGGCTTGTTCATTCAGTTAAATGGTCTATTTCAACTGAAAATAAGAAGGGCCAGCAAATGAAGGCAAGCAGTGATAGTTGTGTGGTGTATCAACATTATCTTTTAACTGCTGGTACCACTATGGAGGAAGAAAATCATAAAGCATTCTTTCCTTTAGGCAGCAAAACTCTAAAGAAGGTACTAGTAATCTAAACAGCAATCTCAGTACATAATCTAAAATGCATGTAGCTAAGTAACAGGATTATTTTTTGAGTAAATCAAGATCCTACCATAATCTCTGTTGCATTTTAATCTTCCAGAAAATGTTCAGTCCTAAACTGCATGCAATGCTTACCAACTTTACACATGACTTTTAATAAAACTTTTGTATCTGTAATTTTAACTTCTTTAATTTTGCCCTTCATTATTTCCAGAAGCTATAAAATATTTTGTAAAAATGATCAATGATTTACCAGAGCCAAAAGAAGTTACAGCCCAGATCTATAGATTATCACACAGAGTTTAAATGTGGATCCCATCACAATCTCCATTTAAAATACTATCTGTTCAGGCACAGATGGATTGCTATGGCAACAGAATCCCAAATACCAGGTAACAAAAATGTAAATTATTGATGGATTCATAATTCTGCCTCTTGGACACTCTCTCCCTAAAAAAAAAAATCTACCCTTATGCTAACTAGTACAGAAAAAAAGATTGATAAACATTTTTTCCTGCACAGTGAATGCTTCATCTGAAAGGATTTCATTAAATATTATAGCTAAATTTTTTATTCTTGTAGCAGCAGACAGCAAGTAGAGATTACAGCTGAAATGCCGCCATTCAAGTCATGGCTCCCTGAAGTCAGGAATTTGCACTAACATGACAGAAACTAAATTTTGAAACCACCTGAGGAGGTTTTTATATATTTCATTTTGAACTCTGCTGACTGACAATCCTTTAGCCACAATAACAGTGCAGAACACAAGTATAACCAGCAAATACACAGTACTTTAAAAACAATAAAAAAGACAAAAAAGTGAAGAAAATAAAATTAGCAAGCTCTCAAGAGTTAATGTGCTCTTCTGGACATTTTCCAAATTTCAGAATGACCTCAAACAATATCTTTGGTCTTCTGCTGTAAACTACAAGCATAATTAACCTATATTATTAAGAGTAGTATGATTAAATGTAAGTACAACATAGTGTATTATGCTCATACTAGCAGATTTGACAATATTTCTGTAAGTAAGACAATTAAATTTAGCATATATTTATTACCTTTTATTGGATGCTATTTTATGAACAGTGAACAGTGATTCTTGAAACATGTATGTGTGCTTTCATGTCAGTGTCAAATCTTGGTAACTGTGTAGACAAGTCCCTGCAGTTTTCTTGAAAAAAAATTGTTTCTTTTAAAATAGGTTTGCTGTTTGCTTCCTAGGGCTGAAAGTCAGATCATCCAGCTGGCTTTGTGCCTCAGATGGAACTCTGTAATAACCACTACACTAATTTGACTTTCTAAAAATATTTATGCCCTAAAAAAAATACAGTACAGATTGCATGATCATGAATGAAGTTTCTTTGAAGTTAATGTTAGTAATTCCAAATACAGATATCAGTGAAAACTTTATGGTTATAGAAACATACTTCCAATCATTACAGGTAATAAAAGTACTATTAGTTATATTTAGTTTAGAAATGTTATTTGGTTCAAAGGATGAATAAAATACATGCAAACATAATAAAATTAAATTTAAACTGTGTTGTTTTTCATTTATCTTAATATTTTATGTTATTGCTTTAATTGTTCAATATTTTATTACAGCTTTGGCAGATACAATTTACATGAACCCAAAGATGAAACTTACAATTTACAATAAAAGGTAATACAGAAAATCTGTTTTGTAAGGAACTCTTAAAGGAGAATAAATATTGATATATTTTTATGTACATATATTATGTGAAAATGTGTAAAGAAAAACAGCCAACGTTGTCTTTTTTAAAAGGGTATTAAAAGAGACTTTAATCTTAGTGAAAACAAGTACTAATGAGAGATCAAAGTTTTCAACATCAGTCATTTGGACATAATATTAGTAGTGTTTATTATTTAACAATAAAAATGTGATTCTAACTTGTCCAGATAAAAGGACTGAATTTTTTTAAAAAAATGTTTATTCTTTATTTATATGAAATTCCATCGCCAACAGTATACTGTCACTAGAAAAACATTTTACCTCATTTAATTA